GTATATTCACCTTGTGGATGAGAGCAACAAGACTTAAAAAAATTAAATGACCTGACCAAGGCAAAAAGCCAAGAAGTTTGAAACAGATGAAAAATTAATGCAGATCTGTGAAAATCCTGCTCAATCCTTTAATTGCAAGACCATACTTGCTGTGAACACTGCAAAAACCAACCAGGAGGCAATAGAAATGCAAATAAAACTGAAATGAAAAATTTACAACCCACTAAAGAGTGATCCCTTCTTATCAGCTCAAATAGTGCTGTTTTCTCAGCCATAATTGTTATCCAAACAGCCAGAAGGTAAAAACTTGAAACAGAGCTGAGCTGTGCAAACTCCTCTGTAATAAACACCAGGTTAACACTCAACAGTCACACTTTGAAAAAAAAAAAAAAAAAATAAAGTTGACCTAATAGTGCCTGACTGGCAAGCCAAAAAATATTTCCTTAAGCACTTAATTTCATCAGGCTGAAGAAGAAGGAAGACAACACAGAACCACAGCTTGCCTTCTTGGCTCTTGCAGAATTCTTTTGACCTTAATCAGTTACAGAGTTAATAAGTACAAAACCTGCACTAATTGTAGGAGGTACCACTGAGGCTTTGGGGATTTTTTGGTTCTTCAAGCAGCAAACTCGACAGAGTTACTACTTCACCTCAGTGTAGTATTTTGAAAAGTAGATATTTCTAATTTTCTGTTTTGCTTCACTAACAATTCCCCCCCCACTCATAGCCCAAATAAAAATGTCGTTTAAACAACTGTTAGTACATCCACAGGAGAGAAGTCCAAGGTACCAAATAAGCATCTGATGCTGTTTTCACTTTGACTCCATCACACTGCCCACACATAGGAGCAAGGCTGGATCTGATCTGGTTGGCTTATACCTGCAGAGCAGAGAGGAGGGGAATTGGGGCTACCCTTCTCCCACTCACCGTGCATGTCCATCATCCCTGGGGAGGAGCTGTTCTCTGGGGTGGTCACTTCAGAGCCACATTTTTCATCTTTGCCTTTTTTCTTATTCTTATTTTTCTGAAAAACAAAAGGCATCACACACAAATGAGATACCACCACCACAAAGAGAAATCCGTGTTGCAGTATAAAACCCTCATCACTCATTACTTCCATAAGCACCTCTTAATTTCAAGTGAGAAATAAAGCCAGTGTGATAATAACTGCCATTATCAATAATGCATTAGTCCCAATAACTGCAGGGCTGTTTTCCCATTTGCATTCTTCTTGACACAGAACACTAGGATTTATGGGAAATTCTAACAACAGCACTAAACATGATCTTAAAGCTCTTTTCCAACCCGAACAATTTTGTGATTCTGTTCTTCATCTTCAAACTGCACCATTTCTGCAAAAAGCACAGAAGTTCTCAGAAACCCTCCTGGTTCTCCACACAGGAATCTGAGGCACAGTGATTAAAGGGTTTGCTGCAACAGACTCTGAGAACTTGGCAGGTGCTGCTGCCAACTCTGTACTCAGCCCTAAGAGCTACAGAAGCAAGGTCAAAGGAATCTCTGCTACACCAGGAACAGGGAATAATATTCCTGACAGAGGCAGGGTTGAGATCCACCAAAACACCCAATTTCTGAGCTCCCAGCTCTGCTCTGTGTAGTTTATGTGTATGAACACACCACTACCTAACCCAGTACATTGTCCCTTTCCTATCAGGAAGCTTCAAGAGCACACCAAGACACTGTGCACCACAGGAATGACAGAGATCATGAATTTTACACTCAAGAAACAGCTTTTTACCTCCTTCTCAAAGACCAACACTGCAGAGGTCTCCTCCTTCCCTACAACCAATGCTGTTTCTTCATTCTAACTAAAAGATGGATTAAGAAAAATCAGACTGGCCTAAAACAAAGAGCACAAGCAGGACAGCCCTGCGTGGGCACCTGGTCCCAACCTGCTCAGGACTGACCCCAGCACAGACCACAAGCACTAAAACAAAGGAAGAGCCCGTGGATCCATCACGTGGGAACTCTGCGCCTGCCGAGGGATGCAGCATTTCCAATTAGGAGGTGACGTAATCAGGCTCCCAGGAGAAAGAGCAGCTGCACTGCTTTTGGAGGATCCTGCTGCCTGCTGAGGACACAATGGGAAGCCTGACTCCAGGAAGAACACTCTCAACCCATCCTTTTGGACAGAGAGCGTCTTCCAACAGGGGAAGGAACTAAAACACAATCAAATGTTGTCTAAGACTGCAGAAGAAATTCAACAAGTGATATCTGGGAAAGACTTTTGTCTCTATTTTAAATGTATTATTTAGGTTATTTCTAAACTGTATTTTTTCTTCAGAGAAGCCAGATTTTACTCCCTAATATACAAAACAGAGGTGAGAGTACATGGACTTCTTTACCTTTGCAAAATGAAAGTTCAGAGAGGTCATAATATCTCTCAGGTTTGGTTTTGTTATTTTTTTTAAAGGCAATAAAGACACTTTTGCCACAAAAGAAATATTGAAAATGACAGCAAGCAATTTAAGCTGCAAAGTGTTTTACAAAGGTTTAACCATCAAAGTGGTGAGACTCTAGAACAGCCTTCCAGACCCAATAGGAGGAAAAGAGCCCAGCTAACTGTAGTTCAGAGAAATGTCAAAGTGTCTTAGGAACAGCACATGAGGGGGGAAGAAATCTAATCTCTGTTCACTAAAATCAAAGACAACTTCCATTTGAAACAGGAAAGGTCCCATCTTCCTACTCTAGGGAAAAGCAAATACACTGTCTGCTCCTTCACAGTGGATGAAATTGGATATAAAGGAATGTCCACAAAATTAAATAGCCAAAATTATCCCTGCTTGGTATTTATTTGTAAAATACAAGCACTTGTTTTATTTGTGAGAACTTCCAGAGCAAGAAGACACAAACCTTGTGACATCAATGCTGCAACAACTGCAGCATGAAAAGAGTGTGACTGTAGGACACCAAAGTAACTGGTCTTGAACAAGTGTCCCAATTTCAGCAAATCTGGAGCCTCAACCTACAGATGATGGCTCAGAAAACACAATTAAACTCTGCACAGAGACCATTATATAAACCCATTCTTCATAACAGGGAATCTGACTTCAGGTACCAGTGACCTTGAAAATTCATCCAGAAGCTCACTTAGAAATTCTATTTCCAAGTCCCACAGCACCCATCCTGCAGGAACACCTTCACTGCAGGAAAATGATTTTCAGAAGCCATGAACCTAAATATCCTAAGTCTTGCACTCTCTCTCACATAGATAGCACACTTCCCCCCCTCCCACGTATTATAAATTAAAAAAATCAAGACCTAACATTTGACAACTAGAAACAATGAAGATTTCTGTAAAGAAGGCTTCCCAGTTCTTAAGGGGTTACTTCAGTGCTCAAGCACTGGAAGAACCCAAGAGGTTTCCCACAACTTTGACAGTCACTGATATACGTGGGACAACCAAAGGCACAGAAAGAAACAAAGTAAAAGCACGTGAAGCCCAAGGAAGGAGTACCAAACTTGGCATATATATTCTGTTGCATCATTATTTTACTATGATGTCATTGATTAGTTTTCTATTACAATATTTCAACTTTAAAAAAAGCAGTGTTTTGAAAATCAATTTGTAAGTCCCACCCACTTCGATTTTTACAGCAATTTTTATGCCACACGAACAGTGCACACTAAGAACACAAACATGATGCATACACAGAACATTTATGAAGAGGAAACACACATTGCAATAGAAGTGTTTGTGCTGTATTACTTGGGCTGGACATCTTAATACAAGCCATCTCAGTTCCACAGGGTTTTCCTGCCCTCACATCAGTGTTTTGCACCTATTTTTGAGCAAAACAGAGAATACTCTGCCCAGTTCCAAACCAGCTACTTTCCTCTGAAACATCAAGTAGAAGGAGGGAAAATGGTCAATGTCTGAACTTCCCCTCCCCACTTCCCAGTTGTTATATTAGAGAAAGGTTTAAAAAATCAATTTCAAGCTGAATATTTCACAGTTATCTGAGAACTGATCCCAGCTGACTCCAGGAAGACTCACCCACTGACCCATCAACATCACTTTCCGTAGAGATCAACATCTCCCTGGAGCGTGCAAGACCCACACCAGCCTTAGCTTAAGGCTCTGAGAAGACCAAGAATATTTCTTTGGATTTTCCCTAAACACAAGGAAAAAGCAGAGACTGCAGGATATACTTACATCATCGACCTTGGGCTCTGTTACTGGGACCCATTTGTAAATCCTTAGGGATGTGTCGCCAACTGTCACCCACTTCTTCTCCCTAGAAAATTACAATGCAGGAGAAGTTAAACTTCGAATTCAGAAGACAGTGATCTCCTATTGTAAGTTGTCAAGGATTTAAACAGGCTATTAAGTAGGATGATCTCTATTACATCGTCTTTAGCACTGCATTGTGCAAATTGTTCTTTTCATTTCACAAAGTTGTTAGAGCACTGCTACCCTCCAGATTTCTCAGGGCTGTTACCTGACTGGGTGAGTAACTGCAGTAGCAGTAATAAGATCTGGATTAAAGGTACAGTTAAGAAGAACAGCAATTGAAAATGCAGATTTAATGCCTACAATTTTCACTTCAGTTTCTAGAGAGCAGAAGAGGGTTTAGACAGACCAGTGTGTTTTGATTGTCATGAAGCTGTTTAATGGCATCAGAAATCTAGATGCATTTTGACCATCTGAGGTTTATTTTGGGGCAGAAATTTGCTGCTGGCAATTTAACATTCACTCCACACCCCTGACAGACAGCTCTGCAATTCCAGCCATAGGAACAACAGCCTCTTTGGAAGCAACGTGTGCCGTGATGCAGAATCCAGACTCTGGAGAGCCCAGCTCTCTGGAAAAGCAAGGCTGAGGCTACCAGAGAGGGAAAAGCATAACCTGGAGCACTGTGCAGGCCCTGCCAGCCGTGAATGGTGACACTGACAAATTGTGAAGGAAATGTGGCTGGAGGGCGGCACCACCTCAGGGGGGCACAGCGGAGAGCGAAGGGATGCTCAGCGCCTGGGTGAGGGATGAATTCCCTGAGCTCTCTCCATCAGGATATTAAAAGAAGGTCCACAATGCCAGAGAAATTTCATCCCGTGCCTGTGATCAGTTTTCAGGTCACAGATTCCCACTGCTGGTTCCTGGGTTTGTAAAGCAGCTCTGCAAATGGATCGATTAGAAGTTAACAACAAAGAGCGATTCCATTAAATATTCAGGAACATCTGAAATTAATTTGGCATGAGATCTGAAGCACTATTTTTTTCCAAAAAACACATTTAAATAATGGATTTGGGATCCAGTTATAGGTTAAAAAGATTTAAAAATGTTTTTTGCAGGATGGGAGAAGCTGGGTGTGACTCCAAATGTGTGATAGCTTCATTTTTGGAAAGGACCTCCAGAATCAAAAGCAGCCACAAACATCCTCCTATTTGTTTTAGCTACTAAAGCCAATCTTTTATTTTCCCTTTAGAAGAGACCTTTTCCTGTTTAATTTAAAAAAACACCCTAAACTATATATGACTATTTGATACATTTTGGATCTGTCTGTAAGGAGATTTTAACTTAAGTCCAAAACTATTTGAGATTTATTTCTTTCCCACTGCTCTTCCTGGAGTAAAATTTTCCCTCATTGTGTTGGGATACAACCATTTGGGTACACTAGGTGGCTAAAGTATGTCAAAATCCAATTTCACTCTAATTTGGAGCTCTACATGTGATAAAAATGACAGTGGAGATGAGGGCATGTCAATAATGAGAACATACTTAATTGTGAAGTGATGATCATGACATAATTTGGGGGTTTTTTAAGGATACAAGACAAACTAAGTTTATCTCTACTTAGGAAAACCTTTGAAATTACGGAAATAAAACCAGCTGGGGTTTTGTTTTGGGTGGGGGGAGAGGTGAATAAATGCTTTTAAAAAATCAAGACTTTAGTCTTTTCCTACAGCAAAATATTACTTAGAGATGCTGCACTGGAAAACCAAAAGTTCAAGATACCTGTTAGCATCTCAAAGCAGCCTCACACAGCATCTTCACTGGACAGACTGTAGAACACAGGAGGAAACCTATATTAGTAACTTTTTCCTTCTAGTATTAAAGTTAGCCCTGACATTTTAATTCTTTTGAGCTTCTTAAGTACCACTTTAAGTTTTGATAACCCTCAGCTACAGGGATTTTTTTAACCGAATTCAATACACAGTAATTCAGACAACAATGGGAAGAAGGATATTTTGTGATGGAAGTACACCGACAGCCCAGTCCTGCAAACACTCAGGGCTGAAAAGAAAACCCCACATCACACTGCTATTATGCAAATATTTTACACGTGTGAGCATTTACAGTATTGAAGGTTTAAGACCACGAAAGTATCAGTGGGAAAAAAAGAAGACAACCTCCTCTAAAATGTAATAAAATCATTTGCAGCACAAACACAAATTTGTTAACAAAGAAACGCAATGACTTTGAGACACTTGAGATCAACAGGGTAACATAACTTCAAGATTAAAGATGTTTATTGCAAATTAAGCTTAGAATATTATGTGTAATACTTACTGCCTTTGCATTTCACAACCAAACCCAAAATCCAAACAAGCAAACAAACACCCCAAACCCAGTTCTACTCTGACCACTCTTTTTAATCTTTCATGCATAGACACCATCCCAACCTGCTGGTCAGGGACTTTCCTTCTCATTCCCTGAGAACTGACAATTTACTGATGCTGCCCCACGGCAGGAAGTTTGGGAAATGCTGCACAAACCACAAAATACCCTCCCTGACCCAGCACTGGAGTGGGAATGAGGAATTCCTGAGCTCCTGTGCCCAGCCTCTTGTGAGACCTGAAGTAGTTTCTCCCCATTTTCCTGTCTGTTGCACCCACTCATCCCGAGATCCCGAGCAGAATTCCACCCCATCACCTATTCCACCTTTGGTAAGTGATCACTAGGCAAAATATGTTATCACACTACCCTCTGTTATTCCTACAGGTTGGTCTCTATATTGACTAGTGGACTGGAAAAGGTGCCTAATGGAAATCCATCAACCTGACAGTTTATCAGGTTAAAAATGTGGCAACGATCAACTTTACTTGTCCACTTCTAGCTGATAAACCCCGCAGCTTTACAAAAAAATAATAATTTTGCCTGTTTTAATACCTCTCCTGTTCCTCCATGAATGAATCAGGAGTAACAACAGAGAGTGGCAAAACTTTAAATATCCACAAAAATAATTTTATCTTTTAATTTTCCATGCCGAAAAGTATCTTCAATATTTTAGTCATAGTAAATTCAGAAACTAACCAATGCAACAGAAACAAACCCTTACATCTATCTGAAATTGTGTTAAAGCATTTTTAAATTCTGAACTGTATCTGCACAGCGTTTAAAGGACAGCCAAGGGTACATAGGGTAAGCACTAGTATCAACACTTCTTCAGTGCTTATGCCTGAGGCATACTAATATCCCAGAACTTACATCATTATATACTCAATTCCCCACTCTAAAGAGCCCAAGACTCTTAAATATATTTATATTTTGTTTAATAACACTAGAGCTCCACAGATGAGTATCAGATTCCACGTATAAAAGTAATATACGGGTGAGCAAAGACAACAGTGTACGTTACACTTATACAGAAAGTGTCAAGGCAGCTTCTGCAGCAGCAGTGAGTGCCAGAAACATTTGATGGCACAGACACAGAAAGCCTTTGCTGCCAATATATCACTCAAGAAAAGGCTTTCCCACTTGTTTGGCCTTTTCCTGTGGCTCTCATCCATCACAGTGATCTGCGTTTACACACGGATTTGCTCCCACATACCCCATCTTCTGCTGATGATCACGAAGTGACGTCATAATGCTGAATTTATCACATCACACTCACTTGCATTGCAACAGAGTTTGGTGAAAATCACAGAATTATGACCTCCCTGTGGGATCAAGCAAAGGAGAGAGGGGAATGGGAAAGAAAATGCCATTATTATACATAAAAAGTGCCGTGAGATGCACAACAACTGACTTTCTGAGGCGCAGGCTTGCCTTCCCGAGCACACCCACTGCTGTGGGGATGTCTGTCTAGTGACTAACGGGAAGGAGCCCCAGACACACGTGGTGTTTATACTGACCAGGCTGCAAACACAATAAAAATCCATGCAGCATGACTGGACAAGGACAGGTGGTTACAGACACCTTCCCTCTGAGTTTCCCTAAATACGGTACATTTTGAGAGCCCCCTGTACCTTACACAGGCCAGCATGTTTTAAAGCAAGCCCTGTTTGGTTCCACGTGGCCAGGAGCACCTTTCTAGCAGTGGAGAGAACCATTTACACGTGCCAAAACTCTACCTTTAACCTCAGCTTCCACTGAAGTCAGAGAGCACATCCTGGCCCAGAGAGAAATAATCAAAGACAGAAAAAAAAGTATCATAATTCAAGCATCATAACAGGGTGTTTGGGCCACTACAAAACTTCAGTACATTCCCACACATCCACTGGGTATTCTTACTTCAACTGCCACTACTTGAACTGAAATCTTAGCAGGAAACCCAAAAGAGCCAACGCAGCCAGGCTGAAGCAGGGTGGTGATCCAGGAGTAGCAAACAGCTTTTTTCCAAAGACATCATGTTAACAAGTTCTATGTCATTACTCCTTTTCAGAGCAAAAGCCTATTTTAAGGAAGCATGAGCAGCAAAACCTGCAGAAGCTCAATCTCTGAGCATTACATACCACACAAAAACATTTTAGCGAGTCTGAATGGAGACAGTGAACAGAAAAGCTACAGCAGCATTGCCCAGAAATTCTAAGTAGCCACAGCCAGCAATCCTAACCATTGGCACCAGGTAACACAGCCAGTGGGGACTTTTCTCCTCAACTTTCTCCAAGTACTTTCTTTCATCAGTTGTTCAGGTTCACCTCTTCTTCCTAAGGTGCTACCACTACCCCCAGGTTAGGGCTTTGATGGGTCAGACAAAGGTCAAAGGATTCTGCAAAGAATTCAAAGACAAGGCAGTGAGCTTTCCTCATTCCTACCAGGTATTCCAGACCTCAATCCTCACATGTCTGCACAGCTGTCCAAAGGTCCAGCAGCACTACATACCCAGGAAAATTATTTCACTGCCTCCCAAGACATCCTACCACTTATGCCTCCTGCCCGTTACTTGTCTTTCAGTAAATGTCTGTATTTTCCTGCATTTAATAAATCCGACTTGGATAAAACCCAAGAATGTTTCCAGTATTTTTCTATTGCTGGCTGAGGGCACAATAGTTTTTGCCCCTCTCATCTTGAGAGCCCACTTAGAATTTACAAGTACTCATCAACCTTTAAGACAAAAACCAACCCTGTACCTTTCACAATCCAGTGAGAAAAATTAATCTCAGGATTTTTTAAGACAGACTTGAAGAAAAATTATAAGTACTGTTAAAAAAACCCAAACTATTCTCTTACTGCAGAAATTTAACTTTTCTGTTACGAATACAACGTAACCACGAATTCCCTAAGCCACGTGCTCTGTGTTTTCCCAAACAGATGCTCATTCACGAGAGTGGTTTAAACAAAGGAGATAAGGTTACAGTAATCTCAAGATAAAAACGTAACAACTTCACTGTTTACTACTAAGTTCCACTAATAACCAGAAGTGCCACGTGCTGCAGATGGATATGAAAAGAAGGGACCTGCCTCCAAGGTTTGCTGTCCAAGAACACTAATTTCCTAAGGAATTAAGTCTGTTCTGGTGGAAGCTGCTTCCCAGCAGGCACGTTCACACACGTGGCAGCACAGGGATTCAGTAATACCACACAGCAAGGTGCTGCACACCTTCCCAGGTGGATAAAGCTCTGGATAAAGCCCCTGTCTGCTCAGATGAGTTCACAGCCCCGCCTGCCTCCCCGCTCATCCCTGGCACGCAGCACTCCGAGCACGCAAGTCTCACAAAACTCTGTCCTAGGAAATGTTGGGTGCAAGGTATTTTAATTTTCAGTGGCTGCATTTCCACAGAAGAGCTGTGGATGGCAACAAATTGCTTCTATTATGCAAATGAAACTGCACACTTGGAAATTGCCGATGTGGCTCTTCTGAAGATGCAGGAATTGCCAGTGTGGAAAGTTCAATTTAACAAGCCAAGTCTTCTCAAAGCACTGAAACCACAAAACACAGAATCTCTCTTGCTAATTTCCCACTGTACTTGACTGCAGGTGTAGAGGGAGAATCATGGAATTCACCTTCAAATTATGATTCCTTTAAAAATAAGGAAATTGGTTTATGTAAATACTTGTGGGGTGCACACCCAAAAAGCTATATCAATACTTCTGACAATAACCAACAGAAACATTCCATGATTCCACACAGGAACCCTTTAAAGGAAGTTGTCTCTCATGAGGGTTAACGTGTAGAAAAACCTATTTATACCGTAAGATTTCTGTTTTACAGAGAGAGCCATAGCAACTGACATGATGGCAGAGAGTCCTTGCCAAGAAAAAATAAATAAACGAGGTATTTTGTTGAATGGTCAAGCTGCTGTCTGCATTGCCCTCTGAATTCTGCAAACTAGGATTCAAAGGGAGCGTGTTGTGCTCATGAATGAAATACCTACAGACAAAACAGTCCCACACACCCAACCACGCTCCTGTTGGAACAAAAGTCCTGTCACACCGCTGGACATTGTTCTGACCCTCCAAAGCTGGCCCAGCCGTCAGCAAACTGCACTTAAAACACCACCCGAGTAGAAGAGAGTTCCTGAAAGCACCCGGGCTGTTCTGGCTCCCCACACAATAGCTGGATTCTTTGAAATCCACATCTCGTGCCCGGCGTTACTGGACACACGTCCCGATTCTTTGTCTGGCTCACGCCAACGGGCCCATTCCCGTGCTCAAGGCCATTTAAAGCTTAAACAATCCATTTCACCCCAATAACGAACACGTTCAATTCTGTATTTCCCCCTCTTCTTTTAACGCAAACAAAGCCTGAGCTGAGGATTGCAACAGAAGTGTCCCCTGATTTCACCAGGTACAAACCAGCTGAGTGATGCAGATCAACACCAACCCAAGGGATTTCCCCGTGGATTCCGTATGTTTACAGAAAGTATTTTAAGGTACACACGCACAAAAACTACCGAACAGTCACAACTTGCTGGAAGAGAGATTCACTCTTGAGTCACACTGGCACTGCTCTTTATCCCATCCCAGGTCCCCGCACCGACCGTGCAGAACACGGCAGCGACCGCTTCGCTGTATTGTCTCAACACCTCGTGAGGGTTTTTCTAACAAAAGCCGAAAAAAAAAGAGACAAAAGCGGGAAAAGGCCAAAACACGCTGAAGGCCTAACAAAAAGGACTTATTCGGCCGGGGTATAACCTTTCATTACACGGTTTAAGGGAGGTTCCAGGGGCAGTTTCGCGCTCTCTCCCGGAGCGCCGGTGGGAGACGATCGCGCTCGGCTTTGCTGCGCTTTTACGCGCAAACCTCGGGAACTTGAGAGGTAAAATAAATAAACAAACAGGCAGCGACAAAAAAAGAAAATAAACTCTCGGGAGCTTTACGGGGGTATTTTTAACATGTTTTGTGGGGCTTTTTTTCTTCCCAGAACACTTCTTGGAGCGCTCTTTTCCCCCGGCGCGGGCGGCGGGGCAGCCCCGGGCCCGCTCCCCGGGCCCTTTGTCGGGGCAGGCGGCGGGAGGTGCCGGCCCCGACTCTCCGCCCGCCCGTGGCCGTGGCGCCCGGCCCGGGACCCGCGGGGGTGTGCGATGGGCCGGGGGGTGCGGGGGGCGGCGGGGGGCGGCGGGGAGGGGGTTCGGCCGCACAATGGAGCCGCCTCTCGCCCTCACACGCCGCCGCCGCCGCCTTCATGTGACTCGCGGAGGAGCGAAATGGCTGCTGGGTGCCGCCGGCTCCCCGCCCCCCGCGGCCGCCGCCGAGCCCCGGCCCCGCGCGGGGCCGGCGCGGGGCGCGGGGAGGCGCGGGGGGGACGCGGGCGCGGGGGGTCCCGGCGCGGCGCGGCCCGCTCACCATTTGCGCACTTTCTCGATGGCCGCCATCACCCGCTTGATATCATCCTTCGCCCGGCTCCGGGTCTCGGCCCGCACCGACCGGCCCGACATGCTGCTGGGGGAGGGGGGGGGGCGGCGGGCTCGGCGGGGAACGCGGCGCTCGGCGCGGCCGGCGGCTGCGGTGCGTGTGTCGGGGCGCCCGCCCGCACAATGCCGGCGCTGCGCGGGGCTCGGCGCGGCTGCGCTCGGCGGCTCCGCTCGGCTCCGCCCGCCCGCCCGCCCGGCGGGGCCGCGCACCGCGCACGCGCGGCGCCGACAGCGAAGGAGCGGGGCGGGGGGGGCGGCGGCCGCCGTGAGGGCAGGGCGGGTGGCGGGGAGGGCGGTCGGGGGTGTGAGGGACCGATCGCGGGCTGCCCTCGGGGCTGAGGGGACGCCGCGGCCACAAAGGGCCGTCCCCAGCGGGGACCGGCGGAGGAGGTGCCCCGGCGGAAAGGAGCCCGCGCGGGCGGGAGTCCGGAGGCGGCCGCCGGCCCCGCGCGCGCGGCGCTTCCAGAGCTCCCGTTGCTGGTTTTTAACTCCACGCTGTTCCCGTGGAGCGCAAGGCAACGCTCCTTCCCCGCCTCCACCGTGCTCAGGCCGTAACTTATCTCAGAATTTAAAAGTTCGTCCAATTTCAGGTCACCTCAACACATCAGGGGTGGTTGGATACTGGGACGGGCTGCCCAGGGAGGTGGTGGAATCACCGTCCCTGGAGGTGTTTAATCCAAGACTCGACGTGGTACTCGATGATGTGGTCTGGTTGACAAGGTG